TGAAATTGGGCACGGCAACACAAGAGAGCGCAATCGTATCATATGATTGGTCACTCGCTCGACATATGGCTCACCACAGCCCTTTTTATTGATTGGATGACTGCACTTGGTTCAAAATAAACCTTAATGTACTTATTTCGTATTAGACAAAGTTGTTTACAATAAGGTAATGTCCTATAGTTGTCAAGATAATAATGAATATTTGATTAACTTAGTACATAGGTGTACTCCGATTTGTTCCAGGATACACCAACCCTGGCTGTTTCGTCAGGCGAGGGACTTGACACTTCAAGTTTTTATCAAGGACGAAACAATTATTTTACTCGCTAAGTTTGAGTAACCAATGTATTACCGGCAAACGTTAGGACTGCAGGATACGCGTATTTCTAGTTTATTAGTTGTCGTCAGCTAAGATTTGTGTATCCTGGAACAGGTCGGAGTACACCTATGTACTAATCTATATCCCGATCGACAACCGGCAAGACGGTCGACCGATGGCTCAGTGGATTGGACGTACTTCTCTAGCTCACTAATCGCGGGTTCGAAACTCGAGTGTAGCGGCAGTTTCTGCGACTGTACTGGAGTCGGGTAACTGCAGCTGACAACAGCTGAGTCCGAATACTTGCTCAGGCACGAACAACTCGCACCTTACGCTACCTGGAAGCAGTCTATATACGGCGGTTTAAAACCGACCTATGTAAACAATTGGAGCATGTGGTGAACCTAACTCTACCTTGGTAACACTGGCTCCCTGTTTACACATTCCCCTCCCCATTTTTGCTTTGGACGTTTTTTCACTAGTTTTTGCTGCCTATAGCGTTTAGATTTCCTACTTTATCGATTGCCTCTTGGCCATTTACAGTAACCTTGTCGTTTTGTATCGATTCTATCTGTATGAATTCAATTATGTATTTTCTCTGAGGTTCATTCACGTTATGCAATGAGAGGTAGCAACTGAAGAGCACTCTCGACATTGATGGATCCGTTAAATTTTGCTGTTTAGACAGCTTATAAGCTAGAAATACGCGTATCCTGCAGTCCTAACGTTTGCCGGTAATGCATTGCTTTCTTGATAAACTCCTCACCGTTTTATTGGCTGTTTGATTAAAAGATCGAACCTCCAACTAAAGACTGAGTTAGTTCCTACTTGAGCCCTAACTGTCAAATTACCCAGTCCAATTCAAACTACCTATGCCAACCCAGTTTTTTATAGACTCTTCAATTGAATACTCAATATTTTCTTGAAAGGTCTATTGAGTCCTTTTTGCATGATCATATGCATGTACTCACCTGCAAAAATTTAATGTGACCTCGTGTTCATTTTCCAACAAGCATGATCAGTCCCAGACATTCTTTATTTGAAGTCAAATTCACCTCCTTTGTCTTTAAGATCACCCTGAGCTTCTGCCTGCCCGCAATCTTTGACATATTTGGCAAACAAGATATTACCCAACTCGAGGTGAGTTCCTTTTTATAGTCACTTTAATGCTTTTATGTGGGACCATTTAGGAGTTTTCTCTGCACTCAATAGCCTCTGTGATAGGAAAGAACGGGCGAGTTGCAGGAAGCAGTTCAGAAGTAGATGATGCGACCGCTGAAACAAGGAGTTTTTTTTGCCTACTGTCTCGAAATCTGGGTTGAACACTTCACCAGCGATAACCGCAGAATGTGATGATAAATGGAGAGATTACGCCGTAGCGGCCACGCGACTGCATGCGCAATATAATTAGCAGCTCCCATTATCATCGTTTTTAAAGATTGTAATTGATGTTATGGCGGTTTGGCAGTCCGCTTCCGAGTCATTAATATCCACGATTTCATCATCCTCGTTGGAGGTCGGTTTGAAAATTTGTAATTTCAAAATATGGCCGGATGCGCTCGTGTGGGCTGCACCCTGGGAGTTAGCGTCCTTCCTCCTCACCGCTGCTACGTGCTCGGCACTTTGCGCCCGGAGTAATCTCCCGGTTTCTCCTACGTAGTTGCTTTGCCAACAACTGCACCAGATCCGGCAAACGACTCCAGCCGTTTTTTGTCATTTCAATTAGTCTTTCGGTCTGCATTTCTTAAAAAGGATTTACGTTTTTTGTCTTTTACTCAACTTTTCACCTCTATTTTCAGTTCAGTAAAACAATAACAAGCGATTTTAATTTCTTTTCTAGTGCATAGTTAGCACGTACCTTTACGGCGCGTGGTGTGCGCAATTACTTCATTTGACTTTAACTAAGATATTAGTATGACATTTGGGCTGGGAAACTTTGCCATTTGGCGACCCTACGGTAAATCCTTAGCCAAAAGTAGAAGTACGCCGAATTACCGATCACGGCTGTGCATGAGTTACATAATCGACTGATGTTGGTTTCGGTAGCCATAGCAACATTACCTTCTGTTAATTGCGTCTAGTCACCAGGCAAGGGTATGTGTGTGAAGCATGAGCAAAGTGGTTGTTGCAAGCGCCTGCTTCGCAGTAACCGCAGCTCGGTACCATTCCATCCTCTGCCACCACGGTTGACCGTGAGCGAGAGGACAACCAGTTGGTGCATGTACTGGAAAACTCAGCAGTCCAGTGTGATTTTGTAAGCGTGTGTGTAGTAGTTGAGGATTGGACTGGGAGTCAAACGGCGACGGCTCCTTCTAATCCCCTGGTTGTGTGAATCCTGGTATGTATGTGGCAAATGTGTTAGGTCGTGCTGTGGAGCGCGCAGACAGGTTCGCCGGCCGTTCAGCCACTGCCCCCATCCCACATCAAGTGATCAACCTCCTAGGCAGTGGCTTGATGCTCGCGATATGGAGAGAGTGACATCGATGACTCAGCACACTTCTTACTTCATCATAAAAAAACCTGATGCAATAAGAGCCATCATGGTTGGCTAAAAGCCGTGGATTGGAGGGTTTGCAACGGATAACCCTGACCGAAGGTTCAGTCAAGCCTGTGTCTTGTTCTGTGGAGTGGCTGCCTCGCGGCCTGAGAGTTAGACTGCAATGGCTCTCTTTTAGTGTGGCCGAATTGGCACTCCTACGCAAGCGGAACCCTACCCGGGTGCTTTTCGGGTGCGAATAAGAGGGGTAGTCTTTTCCGCATCCGATCCCGATTCCGGCCTTCTTTACTATGCCCAGAACAAGGGAACAGAGAATGAGGTATATACGGTGCAAGCACACTCTCACTGTTATCCACCGCATAGTCACTGCTCCTGGACCCCCCTGTTATGGAGCATATGGTGGACATGGCCGAA